TGGTCACTTTGATTCTCTTTTTAGGTTGGTATGTGTCTCTTTTGGTATTATTTTGTAGATGAAGGCCATGTTGTTTCCTGACATGTTGTGTCCCTGGTCTTGTGCTCTTTAGGCCCCTTCAGTAATCCTACATGTTCCTTCTTCTCTCAACATTGTTTCCTTCCTCCTCAGTTGGTGAGTCTGCTGCTGGTTGGAGTGGCAGGTTGGGGGAAATGGTTTGACCTGGTTTCCAGCATCAGAGTGGTGGCGGGGGTCATCGGCGTCGGGGTCTTCCTGTTCCTGGTCGCCTTTGTGGGGCTGTGCGGCGCCCTGAAGCACCACCAGGTCCTGCTCTTCTTCGTATCCTTTGGTTTGTTTGACTGAGCGCAAGGAGTCGCATCACACCTCAAATGGTTGTGTGCCAAAGGAGGAGTAAATAACCCAAACACTCTTTTATCGCTCTGTTAAGCTTGTGTTTCATTAGCTCTTGCGAGATTTCAGAATGTTTTTTTTAAATCTTATAAAAACGTCCTTAACTTCCTTCAGTACATGATGGTCCTGTTCATAGTGTTTGTCGGGCAGTTTTCTGTGTCCTGTGCCTGTCTGGCCCTGAATAAAGACCAACAGGTATGTTCATTTTGTCTACGTCGGTTCTATGATAAAGTTATTTTGGCCTATTAGTGTCTCAGAAACATTAATACTCGCACATGTGTTGAGTGAAAGGTATTTATTCAATTATAAATTCAGGGTGATTCATGTTAATCCCTTGTTGTTTTCTTATGCTTTCTAATGAAATAAATGAAAAGACAACCAGACTGTGTGCTTTTCCTTTACAGAAACTTCTACTGGAAGTTGGATGGAACAAATCCGAGGCGACTCAAAGCGACGTAGAGAAAACCCTCGGCTGTTGCGGCTTCTCCTTTGTTCCCATCAATGGCTCATGTGCTGCTGTAAGTCAATCCAACTGGAATATATTTTTCCTCTTAGGAACAATATGATCTTGACTTGTATGATCATGTTAATGAATGTTCTACTGTTACTTCTACTAGAGTTGCTTTGACACCCACCCTGAGACGTGTGTAACGTGCTCCACCACCATACTGCAGTATGCCGGAGAGGTGCTACGCTTTGTGGGCGGTATCGGACTCTTCTTCAGCTTTACAGAGGTCAGTAAATGTCATAGCAACAAATCATTCGGTGTAGAGTGGGTGCTGATGTAGACGTTTAGATTAATTGTGCTGGTTTTATCATAAATGCAACAAAAAAACGTGACACTAACACTTATCTGTCTTTTCTTTTAGATCCTTGGAGTTTGGCTCGCTCACAGATTCAGAAATATCAAAGATCCTCGATCAAATCCTGGAGCCTTCCTATAACCACTCGTACAGTAAATAAACCAAAAAATGAACACTGCTGAATAATTGTTCCTCTAACTTTGAAAATCAAACTTACAAGGACATTTGTATTGAGTTGGACTGTTAGTTTTGACCATTATATTATAACAGTAGTATGTAGAAACACAAGTAGAGGAAATGCCTTGTTAGCTACACATCTTTGTAAAGATTTCTCACAGATGATATTATTACCTGCTTCCTTACTTTCATTGAAATTATGCAGTTTTTGTTTCTTCGAATATTGTGTTTCTTTGGAGAAGTTGTTGGACATTAAGGGTGACATTTAACATGTCCGCTTTCTTGCATTTGATGGCACTATCATGTCTGTAACATAATTATGAAGCTAACAGCTGCTTAGTTTAGCTTAGCGTAGCATAAAGACTGGAAGCAAGGGGAACCAAATCCACCAGAAAGAAGTGTGTTTGGTTTGATGGAGGGTTACATGTCAGACAATTTCTTTCCTGAGAGGAAAAGATTACAACCACAGGCTGTTTCCCCTTTCTTCCATTCTTAATGCTAAGCTAACCGACAGCAGGGGTAACTTTATTTATTAATCTGACTTCTGGCAAATAAGGATAACTCCATAAATGTTGAACTCGTTCTTAAGAGTTTAACAGCAGCTGTGTATGTTCACACACACACACACACACACTCACCTTATGCAAATACACCGCAGGTTATGCAAATACACCGCAGGTTAGCACCATGATGGCTGACTGTGCTCACCACTCCCAGAGATTAAATGATAATGGCTGAACACAATTCACTGTGTTTTGCAGACAGTGGATTTGGGTGTTGGATCAAAATCATGCTTTTGTTTTCTATGTATATTTATTTCTTTGTTTCTTGTTTGAAACACATCAAAACATTGTATTCCTACTAAATCATGCTTCATCATATTGTTTGTCTCATTTCTTTCATTGTCAAATAGATAACCATGTGGGGTTGCAGTAGACGTATGGGAAATGTTATGATAAGCTTATCAGATTAAGTGCTGATAAGGAGCGGTGTTTTCACTTGGGAGTAGGAAACTTGGTGCCACATGACTGCGTCACATTCCCAAACAGGATGCCAACCAGGAACTGTTTTCACTCTTTAGATTCCTCTGAATATCATGAAAGGCAGTCCAACCTGTTTAGTGGTGCAGCTTCAGCACTGCCATTGTTAAATGAGGTCATTGTGTGAATAATTAACAGCGTTTTATATTTAGATCCATCTATTCATTATATAAAGAGATCCTTCTGTCATAGCATTCATTGGCAAGGTGGAGCCTATGACATGGCTTTATGTAGACTGATGTAACATATTCAAATATTCCTACAAGTTTCTGTCCGAAGAGACTCTTCATATTTTGGTATATTAGAGAACCTATTAAAGATTTTAAGTGTAGCCCATTTCAGATCATCCCTCTTGACCCTTTAACAGTGTTTTGTTATTGCTTTTTTTTGTCTGTCAATATTTTACTCAAACTGTGGTTAGCAGCAAAGCAACCTATTGTTATCCACTTCACAACAACAGCCATGCAGATCAGATTTGAGGCACTAGTGAAAAGGAGTGGGATAATGTATAATTCCCAGCATTAAGACATTAAGAAAAGCTAAATGTGTGGGTATAAAGCAGAACTAAGAAGTCATGTTACTCTGAGTATGCACTTAAATACAGCAATGTTATGAGTTGACTGTGTGTAAAGTCAGACACTAGACTATACATCACCTGTATTTACAGCGATGTAGAAACATATGAATGTTTTAAAAGTCATTCTTATTCTTCAAATACTCCAGAATATATGCTGCACATTTTTTCTCATAGCTATTTAGTTAATTGTAGTGAAGTGATGCCTTTAGACTGTTTAATGTATATATCTAACTATTTATATAGAAAATGACCATAATTAAAGTTGTGTTATATGATAAAAAGAAACAGATCACAATTTGCTCTTTTTTCTACTCAAGACAAGGACAAGGTAAAACACTAAACAAAACTGTATTACCCACACATCTGGGCTGGAAGACTTGGATGTACTTCCAGGGTCAAAGATCATTTGGGACGAAGTATGAAGGAAGCACATGGTGAGTGAGGCAGTTTATTTGACCACTTCTGACCCTTAGCTGCTAAGTTGTGATTCGGTGCGGCAGGATCAACAATTTATATTGAAACTAGCAGACATGGTGAAAAAGAGAATTGCTGGCAGTTGGCATGCAAAATGTAGAATTTGAAAGTGTTTGCTCTCCGAGTGAACTCAAGTCACCTCCATCTCAAGAAAATACATTTGTATTCCTTGTGTTCTTTAATCTCCTTTTTTCTTCAACATGACCAAAGCATTTATTTTGCATACTTTGCTATATTTGATCCTTAGAATATAAAGCAATCTCCTGTCAAAACATGAACCTCTGTCACATTCAGCTGAACGCTTCAAAGCCATGTGTTATTGTTTGAAAGGCCTTGAATCTGCTTTTCTTCTGCGGCTGTCCAGCTTGTATCACACTGTCCCCTCATATTGTCTGCAGGGATCATTGCTGAAATGAGTGCATATCAGATATATTTATTTATTGTATAAGTATGAAGACATAACTGCACATCATCTTGTCTTCAAACTTCTGCAGAGCTCTTGAGAATCTTCTTATGATATAATGTCTACTGGATCTGGGCAGCAAGTCTTTTTCTCAGATCAAGCTGTCTGGGTTTGTCAGCTTGAGAGAGAGCTTGGTAAACCCCGGCAAAGTTCAATCTGGTTCTCGTCACTTTGGGCTGCGTGCGGACTTTTAAACAATAGATGTTCTTTCTGTGCAAGATGATGAAGGACCATGCAGAGACTCCTACACCTAACCCCACAGCTTTCACAGTAAGTAAGATATAAGTTCATTTATGTTTGTGGTCACAATTTAAAAAAAAAAGATGTGATTATTTTGTGTACCCTTTTTCTTTGATAGAGCTGAATAAACACTACAACATACAGTGAGAGGTAGGTTTAGGTATTTGTTGTCAATGTAATGTATTGCAGTATCAAGTCAGAGCATGTCCCTGTTCCTAAATGAATAGTAACTTTACTAAGCACATAACTCAAGCAACTGAAATGGGTTCATTCATCATGTAGTAGAAAGATGAACTTGTTAGCGCTCTCTGGTGGACAAACTATGCCACAGCAGCCCTGTTTTCAATGACCACATTTCAATCCTGAGTTGAATTATCTTTCTTGGCATTTTTGCAGTGGTGGAAAGTCAGTAAGAACCTTGCTCCTACCTATATTTTTCACCTCCACTACAATTCAGAGGGAAATATTGTACTTGTTACTGCACTTATATTAAACTTTCTTTCCAACTTTGCAGTTTAATATTTAAACAAAATATTTAAAAAATGCATGATATATTAATCTATCGTGCATTATATAAAGTTATGTCCATCGTTACCTGCTGCAACATCATTGTGATTATAATGTAATATTATTTATATCCTGAAATGGTCTGTTATTCATTATGAGTCAAATCTAAATGCAGGACTTGTACTTAGTATTACACTCTGGTATTGCTTAGGTAAATGATCCGAGTACTCCACTGCATTTGAGTGCTGCAAGTTCTTGTTCCTTAACCTCAGAACAGATATTACAAAGACTCAAGAAGAATACTCTTGTGTTGTATCAAGATTTTTATTAAGCTTACTGTACATTCATGTAGCAAACAGCTTGTCCATTACATGAAAGTATACCCTTGCGTTTGAGAGTATTGACAGGAAGGCTAAAGTCCACTAAACAATTAGAATCCAGGCTCCATATAAACAAAGCAACACAAGGATATGTGGGCAAAGAGGACATACAGACAGAAGTAGAAGAAGACAGAAGTAAAGTGACATGATTTAGTCAAATTTAAAATCTGAAACCTTTTCACAAGGAACGTTCTCTCAGCAGAAGTTGGACCAAAATAAACAAGAAGAAATAAATAGGCACTGGGAGAAGGAGTCACATTAGCATGAGGCAATTAGTCAAGAGAGCGGCTAACTGCTTAAAAAGCCATACCGGCAGTTTTAGGGGGCGAAGCTGCAGTGAGAAGAAGTCGAATGAAGATCTGAGAAAATAATAAAAAGGAAAGCGGCTTACGGGTTTCATAGCATTTGGACCTGACTACGAGTCTGATAAGAACGCTCTGTGTGCGTTAGGGGAATGCTGAGGGTTGAAATCTGGGTCTTCCCTCACTCGTTTCTTGATGTCTGCTTTAACCTAAGAGGAAAAACATTCTGATTATTATCATGGTGGGAATTACAAACAGTATGTCAGAAGGGGTTTTAGAGAGGCAGTCATGTGACCACAGGTTTGTTCCCTATGATCAGCATTAAAGAGGAGGGGAGAAACCCTCATTCAAAACCCCATTTGAACATTTGTGCTGACTTTGCTTTCCTAAGATAAGGGTGCAATATACATACAACTAGAAAACATCATGCTTACAAATTCAGATAAGAATATCAGACATATGTGACCTGCTCTATCGAAATCAGTCGCATTGACCCGAAGACACATTTTGAGTTGTATACACAGCTGGAAAGAAGATATTCCTAGCTTTCTAACGATATCAGGATTGTTTTTGTACTCCAAATATTAAGCAAAATATGTCACATTATATAATGACTGTCACAGAGTCATCATTTTGAGAAAAAGGCCTTCAAAGTTTTCTCTTCTCTGGAATCCATCGATCTGATTGGTTATTAGCAAATGATCAAAATACTACGGAGGGAAGATATTTTCGTTTGGATTACTGGTCTGGGGGAAGCTCGCGAGTGTGTGCGTGTGTGTGTGTGTGTGTGTATACGAGTGTGTTTGTGTCTTTTTGCGTTTGTGTGTATTGTGTTTGTTTCCCGGGGAAAACCCTCACGAGAAACACCGGCTGTTGTTATGCCTGCTGTGACGTTACATTACTCCGTTCTCCGCTTGTAATTATGCCTTCACAAGCTTCAAAGTTGTATTTATCATCTGAATTTACCGAAACAAGTTTAATATTCTGAAAGCCAAGACTTTGTTTAATTGAAATCAGATGAAAACAAACTGTGACGGACCCTGCCGTGTTATTTATGATTACTCTACGCTTACATTCATAATGTCAGCCGGAGGGAGGGGGGGCGGCGCTGCGGAAGAGCAGATTGCCTGTCATCTTCCCTTTACAAGCTTAAAGAATGTATTTATCGTGTGAGTTTGGAAATAAAAGTTTCATATTCTGAAAGCCAAGACTTTGTTTGTTTAAAATCAAACAAAACACCCGAACCCCGAAAAAATAGTTTTTTACGCAAATCCACGTTTATTTTGAAATGAGCCGTTGCGACTTCCGACTGATTTCGATAGAGCGGGTCACATATGCATTATATTGTGAAACTGGTCGCATTCACAACTACAATTAGTGAGGTAGGTCAAAATATTTTCTCAAATCAAGTCTAACAAGTATAGTTAGCCTAAATGACGTGCAGTGCCGTTTGTTGTAATTGACATAACCCAGTTACCTGCTCTGCATACGCTTCTCTGAGCTCCTGGGTGTCCAGGTCCTCCTGTAAGTGCTCAGCAGAAGTGATGGGCTTCACTCCTGCTGTCCTGGCCGCTTGGCTCACGGCGTCCGAGAGGGAGAGGAGGCTTCCCCCACTCAGTCCGGTCTGAAAACACAGAGACACAGACAGCTTAAAGACGGTAAGGACACGTGACATTCGTACAAAACAAGTAAAGTTACAACTGATCTGATTACCTTCCTGCGTTTAGCTGGCATGCCGTGCACATAAGCGTCAGACAGCGGGGGCTGAGCCTTCATCTTCCTCTGGGTCATCATGTCACACCTGATGATGGGCACCCATTCCTACAGTGCAGAGTAATAGAAGATACAAATTGATGGTTCACATCTTTCAAAACCTCTTTCTGCTACTGTTCCTCTGTAGTTGCAGTATTGAAAAAATAAATAAATGGGACATATAAACTAAAGAGACAAACTTTTGAAATGCTTGGAGAAAATGTTTTGATGAATATATTTGCTCTCAGGAATTCTATGAGGTAGAATCCAGAGTGGACACAGTGACAGAAACAACAACGGCTTACATATGGACAGGTGAGAAATGCATGACGACTGACTTGCAAACATTTAAACCTCCCTGTGGAAGTATGTGCACACGATAATGAAAATATAAATGAATCAGTATGACGTGTGCATAAGCCTGAGCTTGTCTGGTATGAGGGGCTGAGCTGCAGGATAAGGGATGTATTTTCTAATTCTGGTGGGACACAACAAATAACAACTAGCAAATACGTGCGAATGCTGTAAACTGTGAACATTTGTGGCTGAATTTAGCTGAAAATGCAGAAAAAGCTGAATATTTTATTAGCTGAATGGTAGCTGCTTTTAGCTACAAAAACCAGGTAAGTGTGTTGCTGAACTTAGCGGGGAAATGCAGAAAGTGAAATGATTTGAATCAAATTGTTACAGCTCAAATTGCATTGCAATGACTTCCATGTTAAAAAATACTTTAAAAAGCTGAATATTTTATATTTTATATATCAAAAAAACTAACAGAGCGTGAGCATCAGGGAACCCCAATGAACTGATATGTTTTCTTTTTGGGTTTTGTGTGGTAAATGTGAAGATGGGAGCAGTCTGTCTAAAGTGTACTTCTCTCTGTTCTGAAGAAAGATCCGGATTTGTTTTACATAGGAGTCTAATGGGAGCTAGGTGGACTTTTTGTCTCTTCATGCCCTCAAGAGGCATTTTGTTTAATATTTTTTCTTAATTCTTTTTTATTTTCCAACCTAGGAGAGGTTTTCCTACGTTTTTCATGAAAAATGATGTCTGAGGAGTGTAGGGTTTGGGAATTATGGAAGGTGTAAAACATTTTTTGGGAGAATTTCAAGCACTGCTCCACTCTGTTTTGAGGTCAAAGCACTCTAGAGTTAACGAGCTGCTCCATCTACTCTAATGTTAAAATCTGAACAAGGCCTCTACCAAGCTCCAAACTAAGTTAAATATCTTAAAAAAAAATGTCTATAGCTGAAGGTCTTGTGATCATTTTAAAGTTGGAATGAAGTCTCTAGCTGAAAGTATGTGGAAGGAGAAGCATTTGGCGTAAGGTCTAGTTAAAAGAGGATTTGAAGAGTCGTCCCATTGACTTCCATGTTAAAAAAAGAGTTTAAAAAGCTGAATATTTCAAAAAGTATAACATATTTTTAAAAAGTTGAAAGTTTCCCATCGATTCCTTAAAAAAGGCTGAAAAATGTCATATTTGAATGGTTTCTGTAGCTGAAAGTAAGCTGAAGTTATGGAGAGCCAAAGTATTGGCTGAAATAAGGGGGAGAATAAAGATTTGAAGAACTATAGTGCATTCGCAGCATTCGCACTAATAAACTTCCAACCAGAGCTTTAAGTGTCTTTCCAGAAAAAAGGTTCCAATTGTTTAGTATAATCCACAGACTTCAGTAAAAACAATATTTAGCTCTACCTTCCCTACAGAACAAAAAGTTCCTGCATAAGCTGTTGACAGTTAGCTCCTGGATTTTCCAATATAAGTAATGAGTTGACACTGTACACACTTTAAGAGTGAAGCAGGGCGGTGCCACCACAAAACATGTAGCCATGAAAACAAATCATTTTAAAAACAGAAAACTCTTACAGGTGGAACGGAGGCGGCCCAGGCCTCAGAGTCTCGAGCAGACTCCTCGCTGCCCCCCTCAGCTCCCGCCGCTGCCATGTCGCCACCTAATGGTGCGGCTCCTCCTGAGGCCCCCAGGTCTCCAGGCAACACCCTTGGTTCCCTTGACGACGCCCTTGTGTCGTGTGACACGTTCATGGCCTCCTCTGCTGTGGTGGCTGCAGCTGGAGAGAGGGTGTCCGCGATCTTTGGAAGTAGAAAACAGACCACATGAGGGAACTAAAAGGTTAGAGCAGTAACTTACACATTAACTGAGATCATTTGAAAGAACATTTAAGACACGACATGCTCACCGTTGCACTTTGTGCTCGTTCAGGCACTTGTGTGCCAGTGGCAGAAGACGTATCTCCCTTTGAAAGAATGCCATACAATATTTATTAGCCTTTTCTGTTCAAAGTAACAGGATATGCAACAGCCATCAGATAAGAGTGACTGCTTCTCTCTCTGCAACATGTTTGGCCAACAACTCAGACCAAATGTATAATCGGGGGAAAAAACATATCAAGTTTAACGGAGACACTTCATTGTACGTTTGGATTTGATTTTTCCAGTTGTTGTTGATGAAAGATAAATGGTTATTTTTGTTCGAAAGGCATACGGCTGCTTCCTTACCTGCGTGTGAACTATGTAGTTCTGGATCTGGTCCTGGGTGATGGGGATGTGCTCCAGAATCACCTGCAGCCTCATGGTCATCATGCTGGTCATCCAGTTGACCAGGCTGGGGCTGATGTCACTGGACATCCTCCGCTGGAACAAGAGAAAATAAAACATTTACGTTAAGGGTTCAACTTTATGTTTCTTCTGTATTTTCTTAAAAACTCTTAGTAGCATCAAAACATTTGCACAAAGCACTAGACTTTAAATCCTTTGCCAAACATACTAAATTCAGTTTGATGTAGAGTTAGAGACAGAAAGAAGCAGTGAGTGAGTCAGGGAGAGATTGAATACTGACGATTCGGTGGTTGATGACTGCGGTGAGGGCTCTCTGGTCTCCTCTCAGGCCGTGCAGGTTGAGGGCCAGACACTCAAACAGCGCCTGGTTACACATCTGGAGCAGCCGGGGCCCGAATGAGTCATCTGGATGAAAAAACATATTGATATTAATTGGCAACAAAATGCAATCCTACAAGACAATATGATATTTTATACGTCAGTACTTCAGCTCCTGTCATTACTTCTGATAAACATAGCAAATATTGTAACTTTTAGTGCTGCAACCAACACTTCCAAACAAATAGCGGCTAAACAGGAACCACACAAACTATAAATAAACCAAGTCACTCTTAACAATCAACTATACTGTTCATTGTTTACCCGTGCAACGCAGGATGTGTGTGGCAATGAGCATCAGCTGCTGCCTGAAGAAGGACATGTTGGTCTGAGTAGCATCGACGCCCTCCAACACTGTGACTGAAGACTCTCTCTGTGGGAGTCCCATAGAAATATAATCAACACATTTACTCAAATGTCAGCTGAAATGTTAATGCCCCTTACCAACAACTATTAGAAGTATAATAACCACCTTCACGCACAGACTTGACAAAGACTGGATTCGTGGACTTGCTCAAAAACGTGGACATACTGTATCTCTCTGATTGCACTGTACAATCTCTTGTAGATTTCTTGCCAATATATATATTTTAGTGTCAGCTTGGCTCACTTAACTTGCCTCATGTTTTTACATTAAATAACAATGTTATAATGCTTTTGTTCATTACCGCCACGTCTAATAGTGTAGTCATTTAGCTGACAAATACAATTAGACTCTGAGTCCAGCATTACATCATATAAGGTTTTGTAAGTAAGTGGACATCAAGGACTTACAAAGCTCTCACTGATATACTCCTCCAGTTCGTTGACAAGAGTGTCAGCCGCAGCCTGGGGGGTGGAAGCAGAGGACGTGAGGAAAGCAAGACGGTGCATGGAGGGACAAGACAAAAATCTATCAGTTATTGGTCAGTCACACAAAGGGATAACAAACACAAACCATCTAACACAGGACCAGGACCAATAATGAAGCTATGTCTACGTATAACTAATCTTATACTAAAATATCTAAACAACAATGTAAAAGAAAAGCGAATCTCTTCAAACTGGCGAGTGTTACTTACAGCAATGTTCTCATCAGTGGGCTCCCTGCCGTTGAGGTAGTTCTGCGTGAAGAACTGGGACAGCTGAGGCTGGATGCGTCCGAGAGGCTGGTGATGACCATGGAGCAGCATCACCAGGTCTGACATGGTGAACGTCTGGCACACCAACATCAGCAGCTCGCCGAAGAATCCTGGGGAATGACATGAGAAGCTGAGGTTAGATTTATGCTCCCTTTTGATAACTTCATATACATGACTGTTTGCTCTTTACCGGTGGGATCCTCCGGACTGATGAAGATGTTGGTGGCCTGGGACAGCCTTTGCATGAACTGGGCGATGCTCTCCGTGTCGTTCTGACCCTGGCCCAGAGAGCCCATCATGGTGCTCAGGACGCCGCGCACGATGCCTGTGAACAGCTCGGGGTTCAGGGCCTCGGCTCCCGCTGCGGCAGGGTTGGGAGTGGGAGTGGGCCCGTCGGCAGGAGCAGGGGCGGTGCCAGAGGGAGGAGGGGGAGGAACAAAGACAGGCTGGGCCTAGAAATTACATGAGTTAGGATTAATAACCGCTCCCTTTACTTGAAATTAATTGTTTTCGTTAAATGAAAAGCCCTATATTCATATTTTGAGGAATTTAAATAATCCTTGTTGGAAAAGAAATAATATAATGTTTTATTCGAATCAGCTCTGTAGCTGATTTAAAGTGGACCTATCAAATGCTATATTTGAAATATATATTGTATATTGTCTATATAAAACATGTCTGTGAAGTTTTTTTTCAAAATACCAAACAGTTCACCCATTGTAGCCATGCCTCTTACTGCTCAAACACCTCTTTTGAAGCCGTGTTAGAGAAACGCCTTGGTCCTTAGCTTGAAAAAAGAAGAGGAGGCGGAGCTAATGCCTGATCAGAATTCTACCGGAGATAAAGTTAAATTCGGTTGTGATAAAACGCCATCCTGTTTAAACCACGTCAAAGATTATTTCTGAAACAGTATGGAGCTCAAATGCTTTTTCTCTTGCAGGTTTATCCCAAGGTGAGTTCCTTTTTATATTTCCTGCTTTTCAAACACATGTGCTCTACAGTACAGTGTTAGCGAGGCTTGCTAATGTAAACAAAGACGAGATTACGTCCAAAACACGTCAGGCATTGTTTCTGATAGCAATTTTCGGTGGGTCCGCAAATCTGTATCCGCTCGTTGTACCCCCGTTTTTAAAAGATTTGGGTACGGAGGAAAAGAGAGAGGGTTTTATTTTCTGACGCTGCGTGAGTTCCCCGACGCACCGGGGACACACATTTATGTATAAAAGACATCACAAAGTGCATTTTGCATGATAGGTCCCCTTTAACATTTGAAACGATGCACTTCCTGAAGATGATCTGTGTGCAGGTAATACAGGATTACTTCAATGATATGCAAGTTCAGGTGAAGTCTAAGAGTACACTCGGGTCAAAGACTCAAACACTGACCTGCTGCATGAACTCACTCACTCCCTGGATGAAGGCAGGGACACCAGACGTGGTGACAGTGATGGAAGGGGCTCCTCCAGGGCCCACCCCGGCCCCCCCCAGCAGAGAGCCCAGGAGCTGGCTGAGGTCAGGGGGCATTTCCTGGGACTGCGGGTCACCGGCGGTGGTCTCAGATTGGCCCGGCTGACTTGAAGGGTTTGCAGTGGGGGGAGTTGGACCCGAGTTGGAGAAAGAAAAGGAGGAGGAGGCTGAGGAGGTTTGAGAGGAGGAAGAAAAGGAGGATGAGGAGGATGTGGATGTGGAGGAGGAGGAAGTGACTGTTGGACCGGCTGTAAAAAAACAGATTAAGTTATCACTGATTGATAGCAATCCTCAAACCAGTCATTCTATGCACTCAAGACACAATGAGTAGGATTTGTTGGTTGCGTTTTTAAAAAAGCAAAATATAAAAGTTGTGCCAGCCCAAGTTTACTCTTGTTTTAGAAGAACAATTTAGAATTTCATCTCACTATGTGTGTTTTTCCTGAACGTTTTTATTGAGGTCGATGCCATAAACGTCCCCAAGAAAGAGACTAGCACACCTTTCTGTGGTCCATATGATGGAACGGGATTCATTTTGTTCTAAACATTTTATTTTGCATTGTTGGAAAACCCTACTCATTGTGCCTTTAAACTATCCTAATCCCAGAAAAAAAATAAAAAATGCTACAATTAATAAATTACACATTTGACTTTCATTAGGTATGACTCGTTCATTGTAACTTCAATCTGTCACCTTTACAGAAAGATGCTGCGAATAAAGAAACAATTTTAAAAAGCTTACCCATTTGCCCTGGCAGCAAGAGCTGTCCGACCAGTCCACTAATCATCTGGTTGAGAGCAGCTGGGTTGAAAGCCTGTGGATCCAGATTTTTCACAATCAGTCAAATGTTGGCATATAGCCTCAGAAACGAGAAGCAAAATCACAAAACAATATCGTCACCTGTCCTGGCTGCTGGCCCGGTATGGCAGCCCTCACATTGATGGTGGTTCCTCGAGCACCAAAGGCTGGGGGGGGCATGTTGGGTGCAAAGGGGGGACGGGTGAACACAACCCTGGCCTGGGGCTGGGGGCCACCATGTGGGGGTGGCGGGGGAGCAGTAGGCGTGGTGGTGGGTGTGTTGGGACCCGTGGTGGTAGTTGAGGAGTTGGCTGTGGAGTTGAATCCGGGAGGAGTGGGCTGGGGGGGGACTGGCTGTCCGGTAGCAGCAGCAGTGGCAGCGCTGGTAGCTACGGCGGTCGCATATTGGCTTATCTGTTGCATCAGATTGCGCATGAAGTCAGGGGGGAGGGCACCTGAAGGGGGGAAACAGAAATAAATGTATTAGAAATGTTTTGTTACCAGCAGAAAACTATTATCTGGAGTCACAACAAGAAGGATACATTTCAGATCCAAACAAATGAACAGTGCTATATTGAACTTGTTGGGAAGTTTAAAATAAAACGGATAACCTGGAAAAGGCTTTACACTAAAAGGACTTTTTTTGTCAAATATATGAATTGGCCTTTACCTGGTTGTCCCGGGATTTGCTGTCCAGCTGCAGCAGGGTTTGCTCCTTGGCCTGCACATACACAAACAAATAAGTTTCAACTATTTGTACAATACTACCAGTACTCTCTTTTACAGGAGAGCTTTTGCAATAACAGATCCATCATGAAAAAATAAACTTTACATCAGATCGATCAATGTTCCTCTCTTCATGTCACTCTGATAGTGGCAGCAGAGTGTGGTATGAGCAATGATGTAATGTAATGCAACTCCAACGCACTGCTGCCCAGCAATAACACACACAAACACTTTTCAATCAGTGGCGGGTAGGGGACAACTCACCATCCGTGTTCATCTGCATCATGACCACCGGGACTGCCTGGTGGCTGATCCTGATGACACGGGGGCCACCCTGTCCCGGTCCAGCCTGCTGATTGGACGGGTAAGACTGAGAGGGAGGGGTTTGTCCAGGACCAGCCTGCTCCGATTGGCTGCCAGGCTGGGTGGGCGGTGCCTGTCCGTCAGTGCTGTTACTCGCAGCAGTCACTGTGGCACCCAGGTTCATCTGTCGGTGACGATGCAAACAACAGTCAGTCTCATAACATTAAAATGAAGTATGAATAATAACATGGGCTTAATATCACTTACTTGCACAGGGATGTGGTGGTGCACGGCTCCAGGCATATTGACTGGGTTGGCATAGTGGGAAAATGGCCGGACCACATGCAGGTGGCGGGGCACAGGGTTCATGAGGTTCAATCGTAGGTCACTGAGAGCCACAAGGGCGTTACCAAGGAGACGGAGACACTCCCACGTCATGATGAGAGTGCGCTGGTCCTCCTCTCTTTCCTGTTGCAGAAGACAAACCATTTTAGGCCACATCTTAATTATATAATCTAAGTTAGGTACACCAAACAAACAAAGATTGGTTCCTTTTTCTTGTCATATGATATAACACCAGAAGCTGTTTAGCTTAGCTTAGCACAAAGACTGGAAACAAAGGGAACCAGTTAGCCTGGCTCTATTTAAAGATAACAAACCCACCTACAAGCAACTCGAAGTTTAGTCCTTCAAAAACAGCATTTGTTATAATCCTATTAATACTAGGGATGTAACGATATACCGAATATCGCGGTAAATAAACTTCCCAATACCGTCGTGAGACTGACAAAATCTACCGCGATTTAAAAAAATAATTAATCTTTAAAAAAATATATAATTCTTTTTAAACACTTTTTAAAAAAAAAACCTTTATTTAACCAGGTGGTCCCATTGAGATCATCGATCTCTTTTTCAATAGAGACCTGTCCAACATGGCAGCAAGTAGGTTACAACATGAAAATAAAACAACAGATAACACAAAAGGACATCGTATTTACAGGGCTACATTTACAGACCTAGAGACATTGACAAGTACCAACCATATATTTATATCTCGCCATGTCAATAAGCCTGGCGTTAGACTTTTTCGCTGTCCGTCATTTTGACAGACAGGATCGTAAAATATCCGTCATAATCCCTTATTACCCGTCGGGTCTGAACAGTTCACGATAGAGCACGTTGGCGCTGTTCCGAGTTTGTTCTAATCTGTCAAAATGACAGACTTCTTTCAGATTTTTGCGTCATTGTTAAATAAAATATTCGGTTAACGCGACCACTGGTGTCCCAGCAACATCAGTACCAAGCGAGAGAGTTTTTTCCAGAGCAGGGGATATTGTAAATGCCCAAACATCCCAGTTTATAAATTCCTGGAATGTGGACATTCTCATATTCCTAAAAACCTGTCTGATGATGCTGAGTGAGTGACTGGTGAGTTTGAGTTGAGTTACTTGAAAAACTAAAGTGAAACTTGATTTATTTTTTATTCTCACAAAGGCTGATTATTAATATGTCTCTTGTTTATTTTGCAGATGCAGTGACACAAATAAAAATGCCCCTACTTTGTTTGGTAGTACTAGTCACCACAAAACACTGGGTTTTCCTGTTCAGTCTGTTACTCCCGTCACTTTTTTTTTTCCCATCCTTTATTATTCAATATCGCCCGGATATCAATACCGTCCACGGTCGGACTTGTTACCCGCGAGCGTACTGCCTCACTCGTACCGTGAGTTTTTGGGTATCGTTACATCCCTATTAATACAAAATAATTTAACTTTATATTAAGTTGTTTTTTCCTTGACTACAATGAATTTAGCAATATGGATATGCAGGCCTCTTTTTGAATGCTTAGTATACTAAAGAATTATATTTATTATTTGGCCTGTTTGAATCTTACTGTATTGTTATTGTTATTCTGCGTTCGGTGGCCGTCTCCAGGATGGTGTAGCTCTCTGAATGAAAGGCTGCAGTCTCTCCCTCCACCCTACGCAGCTCAGACAACATGCCTGCCGAACTCAGCTGGGGCTGGGTGACTAGCGGGAAGAGAAGAGTGCAGACGATACAATCAAAAAGACAATATAAACAGCATTACTTGGTATATTGAAAACTAAGATACTATAAATAACAGAAACAACACTTTAGTTTTCCAATAAACTGATTATAAGAAAAGTTATGGCTCCTGAGTTCAGGAAATGATGAAATCCATTGTTTCTATGTCTGAATGAATTTGTATGTGAATCTGGGAGAGGGAAAGGGATGTCTACACTGTGGGTGGGGGGGTGGTCTCAGATGGGTGCTGAAGTTGGTGTGTGGAGGTGGGGGAGTTGTTTGGAGGTGGGGAGGTGTCCATGGGCGGGCAGATGGGGGGAGTAGAGGTGGTGGATGAGGATGATGGAGGAGAGGAGGTGCAGCAGCAGCAGCAGCAAGAAGGCCGTCTCTGTTTGAGTGGAGAGTCGCTCGTGCACGCTGAAAAAGGAAAGCAATTTTATTAATAATAAAGATTTCTCTGGAGCTTTGCTATTTAAGAAGTCCATGTGAAACGTTTGAGTTTCTCACCTCCATCCTTTGGATTACATCATTGAATGTCCCTCAGTCAGGTTCTCGGCCAGCACCTAGCCTCAGCGAGGCTCCACTCGCACACGGCTGGTCCATATCAATGTGCACAATTCAGACCCATTGCTCTGAATAGAAAGGAGGGTTAAAATAAACCAACACAGGATTATGTCATTTTGGTTTGTAATGCCGTCATTTGGCATCTGTACCAGTGCTGGTTGTGACTCTGGCGTTCCTGCGCATTCGTCTCCCATACCAGACACCCATCTGCTGAACAGACATCTAAACAAAGAGAACCACCTTCGTAAACAACACTTGAGTGCAAGACCCATATTTCTGGAGGTGATATTTAAACATAATGGCTGGACAACATTAATGAAATACATATTATCAATTAAATAAGCGAAGTCTGCTTTCAAGGTTGTTCATGTTTTTTGGTCAGAAATCCAATGGGAAGCTCACACCAGGGGGGTGTACTAACGAAGCAGGATTTTTGCCGTAGCGCTAACTTCAGGGCGAAAAAATCGGGTTCTCGTTTCCTACGAAGCTGGTTCCTCTTTTGTAGCAGGCTACTAGATCTCCATGGCTAGATTACGCTGTGCGGCTAACCTGCACCTGGTGCGTGAGCAGGTTAGTTTGAAGGCTAAGAGCTCAACTCAGTGAACGCAAGGCTGCCTGCTGACCATCAGAGCTTCAGGTGTGCCGGAGTTCTAAGCGACCAAGTCCATATTACGGAGAACGGAAATACAGAAAACTGCCGTGTGCAGGGAAAGCCGGCCGGCAAAAATCACGACTGTGTGAATGTGAAATATAATGAATATCACCTTCCCATCTTCAGAGCAATCTGACTATTAATATACATTAGCGTTAAAGAAACTTACTTAAATATCTGCCACAACATAAGTAAGCCGGATCAGAGTAACATTAAGTACAAGCCCCGCGGCATATCACCATCATGAAATGTATCATATATTCCCCTTATCTGAGTCAGCTGAGCCGTATCTGGCGTGATGGTATGCAAAAGTATTATTTTTAAGCGACACAATTAAGTGACGAACACATCAAATTAAAAGTCCAGATCCACTCGTGTCTTAGACGGGCCAAGTGATAATCATAAAACCTGTTAACAGTACGCATTTCAAACCATTTTTCTTTTAACCAGCTGTATTCACCTTGCAGGTAGGCAGCTATGTGTCGAAAAGCTGCCGTTGCAGAAAAGACGGCCGGCAAAAATCACCGACTGTGTGAATGTGAATATTAATAGAATATCACCTCCCTTCTTCAGAGCAAGCTTTTAAAGCTTAACGTCTTCATATGTGTCTAATTATATAGTTGACTTTTCATTCAGGAAGTATGACGCTGCGCTGTCAGTATGCTTCTCCATGTTTGTGATTGGTCGAATGTTCCAAATACCCCCCCTTTCATGTGAACGCGCACCTAACTAGATACGGCACGGCTGGCTTGAGCGATCCACTTGATAACCCGCGTCGTAGTACCGTTTAGCGAGAGCGCGTATGTTTTGGATTAGGCCAACCGGCTAACTCAAACATATCCAGGTTAGGTTGAACCAGCTTCGTAGTATACGCCCCTGGAGAACATTTGACTTAGTAATTGTTCTATTGTGGAATATGTACAATATTTGTTGAAACTAAAGCATTATGATACATATTTAAATAGTATGTATATTAAAATAGTAGTGTGGAACTCTTGCAGGAAAATTGAAAAATGGAGAGTGCTACAGAGGTCTTGTAAGCTCACTTATACTAACTCCTCTGGAACCACAAAAGGCTTTTTACTTTTGTAAACACACTTTGATGTATGGAATAGATGTTATTCCCCTTTAGTGTCCTAAAAACCCTTACCAAGTGACAAGGCAGACCTACCTGTATCTGCTGGGGGTCCATGATGTTCACAGGAAGGTTGAAGGTGCCAAGCATCACGTAGCTGTTAGCATTGCGATCATGTGGAGGCCCTTGTGACGATCCATGGGAGGAAGAGGAGGGCCCGCTGTCGGCTGAAGTGCCTCCGGACCCTGAGCCAGGCTGGGAGGGTGGAGGGGGTGCACGCTCCACCAGATGTATCACCTTGCCATCCACATCTGGGTAAACAACAGAGACATATGGTTTATCTGTACATACATGATGGTGGGTTGACTTCAACTTGTTTCAAGACACCAGAGAATGTCTAGGTGAATTCTGAATTGCATCCAATAACTTGGGGAATAGTATATGAATATTGACCGACACAATAAAACTAAATGCACAGAACCCGTTACTAAATGCACAGAACCCGTTGACTTACTGTAGTCTGCCAAAGTCAGTATCTCCTGCAAGACTCTGCCCTGGTAGATCAGCCTCTGTTTGTCCACAGGGATACCCACTGAGGGGGCAATGTGCTCCTTAAACTCTTTCACTGTCAACTATAAGAACATGGTACACACTTGAGTCAGACTTCTGCAATCACTGACAAAAAACGAGAATTCATTCCAGAGTTTGCAACAGGAACAGAATAACTTACCTGAGCACCAACAGTGTAGGTTCTGCTTTGGGAGTCGAGTGTTTTGACTGTCACCTCTATGTCTGCAGTTTGTTCCTCCATGGTGTTCCTGTAGCATACAATAGTGTGTCATATGTCTTAGCAATACTTTATGACAACCCCATAAATCTGTTTTTAAAGAATTGTGAATAAGAATAGGGAGGACATGTTACAGTTGAAAAATGAATTAGTCAGTCAAATAGTCATATTGTTCTCTGATTATTTTTAACATGTCATTCTTCAACAGTAAAAACAGTTATTATTCCCAATTAGTCTGAAAAAACATTTATCATGGGCTATTTTTTTCTCTTTTTTTCAAGTCTTGATGTCGATCAAAAATACATTATTTCAAAGAACAAAGATATTCCCTTTACCAAAATTAGGGCTACAGAAAAGGCAGCAAATGTGAATTGCTACGAAGACTGATGATATTTTTTCATTTTGGTGGGATTGGTTGACATTTTGAATAATCCACAAACAGTTTCAGCACTAATTCAAATAATAAAATGTGTGGTGTGACTATAGCTGCATTCCCATATCAAGTTAGATGTCAACTGATTAATCGACAGAAAAATGTATCAACAATTATTATTGTTGAATCATTCAATTCACTTTGAAAAGGAAAAATAATACTTGTATTAAAGTTTAGCTTGCCTGCTTAATGTTACTATTTAAACATGTGTATAATAACCTCTACATGTCTTATAATTCATACAAGTCTTTGTAAATATAATGTCTGAGGATTTGTCTAAACTCCTGGTCAAAACAACTAGATGAAAGACCTCTTTGACATTAGAAACATGTAACAGCCTGAACAACTAGTCACTACATCATACCAAGCAATACAAATTATCAGCAGGCTTCTACAAATACCTAACACGTATATACACAAACAATCAGAGTAGGAAAACACTCAGATATTGTACTTAAGTAAAAGTCGAAATGCCAGAGTGTAGGAATACTCTAACATGTAAAAGTCCGTCCAATCAAAATTAAAGTCTTATTTGGGTGCTGATTATAATTCAAATCGTTGATCCAAATCTACAAAGTAACTAAAGGTATTACATTAATGAAGAGGAGTAAAAGTAAACGATTTACCTCGGAAATGTAGTAGGATAGAAGTACATAGTAGCAAAACATTTAAATACTCAAGCAAAGCACAAGTACCTCAAAATGGTACTTAAATAGAGTACTTGAGTACATCTACTTAAGTTACTTTACACCACAGCAAACAATCTTTACGAAACTGGCAAATTGTTGCTCTCTTAATATCAGTTATAATAACAGCAAACGCATACACATTTGTAACTTAAGCCATGTCTAATTGCAGTACTAAACCGCAGAGGCTTAGCAGCTAACGTTAGCTAAGTTTACTTGCTAGCTAGCATAATAATGTTAGTTAAACATCAGCTCTTACGGTAACGCTAGCTAAGTTAGCGTAGGTTGTATGTATCCCGCGAAGCCTGCCAACGACACTGTTTTTTTTACATTTCAGCCCCAATTCAACAGTGACATGTAACGCCAACAGTCATTACAAACACCGTTAGTAGCTGCCGTTAGTTAGCATCGGCTTGGTAGCAGGATTAGCATAGCTTAACCTAAAAACGTTGGCAACGAAGCTAACTATGGCCAGCGTTAGAAAGGAGGCTAAGCTAATGCTAACTACGCCAAACATTAAAACAAACATACATCAGAGACGATCACATTTTTTCTTTTCACGAAGACCGTGGTGAGATATATAACGGTTACCTTTTAAGACACACTATCCTTTCAACTTATCCAGTGTATGCAGCTGTTTCTTATCACCAAATAACATGCAAATGACTTCCGAGTACAAGCTCTGGTACTTGCCAGAAGCTACCAGGCTGCACGGATGTGACGTTGGCCGACACCGGAAGCGCAGCAAATAGGAAGGAAAAATGGCGAATCTCGTGGAGGCGACAACAAATCAGCAGTTCGAGGATTTCTTAGCCAAAGCTGGAAAATGCCTGACTGTAGTGCACTTCCAGGCAGCATGGGCTCCTCAGTGCGGCCAAATGAACGAAGTGATGGCCGTGCTGGCGAAGGAACACACGCACACCACGTTTGTGAAGCTGGAGGCAGAGGCGGTCCCGGAGGTGTCAGAGAAGTATGAAATCGCTTCTGTGCCCACTTTCCTTTTCTTCAAGGGAGGGGAGAAAGTAGACCGCCTGGACGGGGCCCATGCTCCGGAGCTGACCAAGAAGGTAGAGCGCCTGGCAGTTGCCGGAAATGCTGCTACAGGGGTGGACAGCGGCACCACGGACCTGAACCAACGGCTGAAGAAGCTGATCAACGCGGCGCCCTGCATGCTCTTCATTAAAGGATCCTCGCAGGAGCCCCGCTGCGGATTCAGCCGACAGATAGTGGCCCTGCTGAAGGAGCACAACATCCAGTTCAGCACCTTCGACATCCTTTCCGACGAGGAGGTCCGACAAGAGCTGAAGACCTACTCCAACTGGCCCACCTACCCTCAACTGTATGCGAATGGAGAGTTGGTCGGAGGGCTGGATATAGTGAAGGAGCTGGCTGAGTCTGGAGAGCTGGAGAACACCTGTCCAAAGGCTGTCACCCTGGAGCACCGTCTGAAAACCATCATCAACCAGAGCCCAATCATGGTGTTCATGAAGGGCAACAAGGAGGCTGCGAAATGTGGCTTCAGCAGGCAGACACTGGAGCTTATGAATGACACCGGGGTAGATTATAACACATTTGATATTCTGCAGGATGAAGAGGTGCGTCAGGGGCTCAAGACCTATTCTAACTGGCCAACCTACCCCCAACTCTACGTGAAAGGAGATCTGATCGGTGGTTTGGACATACTGAAGGAGCTGAAGGAGAGTGGAGAGCTGGTGTCAGTGCTGAAGGGGGAATCCTAGATGGATTTGACATGCCATCTGCAAGGGGGGGAACATGCCCAGCATCAACCCTGTGCCACTGATCCTGAGGGCCAGGAAATGAATTAATGAATCAATTTATGAAAATAAATATTAGATTTAACAATCAAATTGTTTCACATATAACCAAATCTGTTGTAGCATTTAGATACGTTTGTGTTCTACTAAAGGCCAACATTGAAAATGCAGTTAATCATTATTGAGTGAAATGTTGAAGGTTAATCTTAATTTTACAAATCCCTATCTGACATAAGGTAAATGCACTGAGAACGGCCTACTTTAGAACATATTATCTGCTGTTTGTTTTTAGGTTACATCTAACCTTCCAGTATTCACAGACATCAGCTCTTGGATTTATATTTAATAAAACATTATTTACCCAGCCTCTGACTTTTCATGCTTTCCTCTCCACCTTCATTTTATTTAAGACAGAAAAACTGTGTCTAACTACATTCAATATCACTCTAGTTTAAACACTTAGAATTAACTCTAGGTGGCACATATTTCATCAATAATATTATGAATAAAAAAACAAGAAAAACCTTTAAGATTTGGTGTGTTTTTGTGCTACTTCTCTTATCTAGATAACATGCTTGAAATGTCACTGTAGAATCAAAGGGCAACCAAACACACGTCATATTCAAAAACAGGAACCCAACAAGGCCTTCAATAATGTGTCATTAATTTTCCTGTTTAACCATAAATGCATCACATCCACACTTAATTAGTATGATGACATTAAATTCAAAGTTTGCAAACTGGTAATCAACAAGTGAACAAACAAGGCACAACACAATCCTTCTAATAGAACAGCTCTAAGTAAAAAATATTTTTCGAATTAATTATGCAAGACCTAGAAGTAATGAACAGATTGCAATGACACATAAATCGTAATACAGTAGACTGATATTCATTAATAAAAACACATGATTAATTTAGATAAAATCATGTCTGTGTAGACAAGCTAGTTGTTTGACACCACCTGGTGGAAGTATTTGTAAAACTGCAGTGAAACATCCTCTCAGATATAAGTTTACATCGAGATAACTTATATAAGAGATGAGCAAGTAGGTTGAATCCAAACATACATTTAATGGGCCAAAATAAGTAATTTTCAGGAGTAAAAAAATGTGTCAACAATTCTGTTTCTCAAAACCTGATAAGGACAGAAAAACAAGGTGATAAAAACCACAGTTGGCTTTGCTTTCGAACAAGTAGTTAATGATTCCTAGTAGATGTATGTCGACAGAGTCAGACTTATTTATTCAGGACATTCTCAAACAAACAAGTTAACAATGTTTTTTCTTGTTGATATTTCGAAAAGGATACATGAGGTTGTAGCATGGTGGTTTTCTTGTCAATACTCAAACACTTTCTATAATTTACAGCTTTTTTAGAAGTGATATAAAAGAAATTGCCTCCTCCTGAATATGACGGTGACTTAGTCTTTGGGGAGAGTTTTAAGGATATTTGAAAACAAGTTTGCTTAGTGAAATAATTATTAATTTGACTATAAATGTGTTTCACCTAAAGCCAGAGGGACAAAGACTGGCCATATTTCATCCACATATTGCTTCTTCTGAAGATCAGGGGTATTACGGCCCTGCATGTTTAATCATTTACCTACACCCACTCTCCTTTTAGACATGTTGGCACAAATAAATTGTGCCCTGAGGAAAAACAGACATTCTGATCGGGTTGATTGTCAAGTATAAACTCTGATTTGCAGTTATGTTGGCTACAGTATTATCATATGTTCTGTGTTTATATGGCTTGTTGTATCAGGCCTTTCTTCTTTGTTCGGTTCCTGAACAGTTGCCTGCCAACACTGTCGACCATCAGCAGGTGAGAAACCAAATATATAGATATTCTGTTTATCAAAGTGTAACAGCTACTCATGTGATTATTATGAAAAAGGTAAAGCATGATGAATGTCAATGCCTTTGTGTATGGATGAGTATCTAAGGAAACTCATTTTTAAGAGAACAATTGTAATTTGGGACACATAGCTAATTTAATGTTAGTCTTCAGATTTTTTGAAATGGTTTACCCACCTTAAAAATCGAATTCAAGGACTTTCCTGGCCCAATTAATAGTTTGTGACATGGATCAGGGTTAATTTTTATTACAAATGCACAAAAGATCACTGAACACATTTTTAAAAAGGCTTGAATGTTTGAACCCTTTCAATGTTGCTGTGTTACTGTTACGGTTCACTCCACAGCAAAACATTTTTTGTTAAAGTTTAGTTATGGAGCACTTTCAATAACCCTTGTTTATAAATGTCTCTTTTCAAAAACCTTTAAGGCCCTCATTTCTTCCTCACTTCAAATTCAGAAACGTTTAAAGATTTCAACAACCCGAGTGAATTATTGAATAATTAAAGCAATGGGATTTTCTGCAGATGCATTACTGAGATAAATTCAGAATGTGGGCCGACAGAGAGTCTTTCCTCCCCCTCTTTTATTTCATACTGTAAGTCGTATCATGTTTTTCCGCATTGTTGGTTTACACCTTTAAATAGGTTACGTTTCTGTCACCCCACACTTTCAACTTCTGTGTCTCCTTCTCTTTCAGTTTCTGGGGAAATGGTACTTTAAAGCAGCAGTCGGTCAGAGAGAGGCTGACATCGAGAGGTTCAAAGCAATGGACAACATGTGGATCACCATGGAGGAGCCGGTCAATGACACACTGCTGGTGACCGGACAGATGCGCATGTGAGGCAGCAAATACACACATAAGCTTATAGTGAATAAAACATGAGATCAAATACTTATTTTTCTAAAACTAGTATGAAATGAAGAAAGAATATTACCATTAAAACTATAAGGAGGTGAAACTGATTTACAACATGTTAAAACAGGACATTAATAGAACAACACATCATAAATAGATACCCGACTTAGGGAAGTGACGCGGTGAAACTGTTACAGATGTGAAAGTGTGTTTCAAAAATGAAAGTACTTTATCTCTTTTTTATCTTATGATGTCATTTTGTGATGAAATATAAATCAGCTACATGCTTAAGGTGTATTTGTTTTTCAAATCTTCTTTTAGAGGAGATGATTGCATAAAACAGACCTGGACCTATCATATACTTCCTGAGAGAGATGATGTTGTACTGGAAGGTAAAAGCCCCATTTGTATTTGCAGATTCAAACTACAGATCAAAACACTCACACACGCACACGCACAGAGAACTGAAGGGATCAACAGGTACAGGCCCTGGAGACAGAAGAGGCCTTGCACAAGGGAATTTCATGCCAATGTTAAAATAAATACAACTTCCTCCCAAAGCACTAAAGGGATTTCGTTTGTTTCTTTTATTCTTAGCAGGGGGGGGAAACCCCTGAGTGTTTCTGTAAAAGCAACTGTAACAAACTTGTCTAATTCTTAAATATTGCTGTTTTCATTGTAGAACAAGTAGTATGGGAAAAATAGATTCAAATCATTTTTTCCATCCTGACTACAACGTTTAACTTGCCTAAGACTATTTACAAAATGTTTCATTGTTATGGTAAACTACATTCTGGCCTTTCATAGAAAAAAAGATAATTCAACATATGTATAACTTACGCACAAAGAGAGACATTGCGTAACTCAGCCCCACAAATTACTACAAGAAGCTTTTTCCCGTTTGTAGTATTTGTTTAGAGCCTCAAGAACAAGTAATAAAACAAGAACCACCTTCAGACTCCATCCCCCAAATTGAAAACCCAAAGAAACGCACCCTGGGGTTTTTAATAGTACGTTTTGAGTTTGGGAAGTTGTGAGCATACTACTGGATAAATGAG